TTTTATTAAAGTCTTACCCCTGGTATCTCTATCTAAGGTTTAACCTAGTGAGGAATGTCCATCTATTAACATTGAACTTTGAACAGGATTGTTGACACAGTGAATAATTCCAATTAGCGAATAATTCCAATTAGTAATTCCCACTTTAGGTATTGATAAAAGTAGACTAAACTTCAGCAATACTGGTTCAATTTAACAAAACAAAACCTCACTGTTGCTTGAAGTCATAGTTTTCTTGCCAGTGCTTTCACTTGAACAAGTCTCCACTGATTTCATCGGAGGTCAAAAAAAGCCAAAGCTGGGAAATTTAAAGACCCTTAGCACCCTTTGATAATTTTTCTGTAAAATCTTTTTCTCCTCGAAGAAAATGTCTTCAGTCTGGGAAAATAAGAACACCATAAATATTTCTTCCAGCTATTATATTTATAGAGTTGTTCACTTAGGCTGGAATCAGTAGCTTCATTTGTTAGTGGTTTCTACATTCATTTTGGTCACCACTACAGAGTAGTTTAGTGCTTTCAAAACTGAGATTCTCCACCAAACCACAACAAGCTTTTGGTTAGCCTGTGAATAATATTATTGACTGACAGGTAAATCTGCAGATAGAAGTGATATACTTGCCTATATGTAGGCAAATTTGGACTGCTGAATCACTGTTGGGTCCACTTCTATAACCATTTGAGCTTGTTTAAACATATGAATATTTGTATATGGAAATATGCAGGTTTCGTTAAAATTAGAAGTAAATGTTTTCCATCAGGAGTTCTGTTTGAACATAATGTAGTCAAATGCTTATAGCAAAAGGGCAGATGTCAAAACCCTACTAGGCCCACTGATGTTGAGAGCAAAAAATAATCCAATTTCTAACTTAAAATTATACTCAGTGATGACAGTCCATTACTTGTCTTGATGATCTTCAGTAATGATAAAATTAATGCATTAGTCACATGCAATCAATTTGGCTCCTAGTAAGTCCTGCAGTCTGATTAGGAATGGCCCTCATTTCAAAATGTTCTCTTCTTTTCATTGTACAGCAAGTGATGTCAATTGATTGGGCAGAAAAAAATGAACTGAATTTCAAAGGGGAAATTGATTATAGCAAGACATCTGAAAACACTTTTTTTACCAGAATACATTTCTGTAAGGTTTGAACTTATTGATAGGTTATAAATAAAAATTCCATGAAAATACACTTTTCTTTGAAGCATTATAATAAAAAGTAAAATAGTTTCTTCTTTTTGTAAACCTACCTCTATGACATACTTTTAGAGTCCTGTGGCTTCTATAAAATCACACCGTTACTGCTTTTTCCTCTACATCTCAGAGTCTGCAACTGCTCATGTTTAGATGTGTGTGGTAATATTAAGTTTGAAAACAATATATCAGGACACTGAATATTTTAGCTCAAATGAAGGTAAAATGCAAATTAAAACAGTTTATATAAATTGGATGCAAATTATTTAGTACTTCTAGCTATACTTAGGCTTATAGATATGTGTACAATTAAATAGTTCCCACAAACAGGCACAAGGGCTAGCAGACAATATTGCTGATATTTCCATCAACTGTCATGTAAAAAGAGGCTCTCAAATATGACCTTTTCCTGCTTACATTTTACGTTTTCGAGCTCAAAAATACTCAAAGCTCCAATCTGACTTTAAAATTAGCAAGCACAGTAGAAACTGAAATGTTTCAATGATGTATGTTACATCCTCTAGGTGCTGAAAGAGGAATAATATATTGTGCCAAGAATAGCTGCTGCCAGGTAAAGCTATTACAAAATTTCACCGGGCTTCAAAAAGCTTGGAATGTGACACATTGCCAAGTGAGCTTTTAGAAAAGAAAACAAGCAATTGATTTTAAAGTGATGTTTACTTTGTAAAAATACATTATATTAAAAATATTAGTCTTAATTCCACCTCACTTTATTAACAGCTCATATTAGTAAAAAATAGTGAAAAATCATATAAATAATTAGGGAAATATATTGAAAAAATGAGATAAACTTAATATTGCTTCAAAGATACTGATAAGAAACCTGATTATCTTGTTATACTTGCTTAAGTATATCTTTGTCATCATAATATCTTTAGTAACACGAAGACTTCTTGGATACCTTGCAGCATTGAATGCAACATCAACAAAGATAATACTGTAATTTTACTTATATTAATTTATGTATCTCGATTACAAGCTAGCATCCTCTGAAATATAGTGAGAGCTTTGAAAACATCCTACTTTTTTGCATATGTTTTTATAGTTAAATATTTTCAAGTTATAAATTCATAACATTATTATTAAAATAACAAGAACTTATCAAAATTCACTTTCTTTTTGAGTAGTTGCATAATGTAGGTTTTGATTTTATTCTAACTACTGACTTTTAGTTCAACTTTTAGTTGAATTCCAATGACATCAAAACCAATTCAGTAGTCCAACAGAACCTTTTCTGTAGTATTTTTACTGATTATTTAACAATAACTAAATGCTGCAAAGGGTCTAAAAAAGAAGCTAATATGCAAAAATTGAGTATAAGGATTTCAAATTAACAGGACGAGAAGGGAATACAGCTAATACAAAATAATCATAGGAACATTTTGTGAGAAAATTCACTCTAAAATATAAAATGCTATGAAACCTTGGACCATGTTATTGATATGCAGGGCACAATATTAACTGTGATGGTCACATAATCATACCCTTGGAGTGCCATAAGTCCTCATGATAAGCCTACTGGCTGGAAATATTTTGCACAAAGGAAGAGAGACACCTCCAGAAGGGATAATAAAGATGATTAATCTGGCAGACAAACTACAGAGTGGTAGGCTTCAACAGCTTCATGTGACTCTAAAACTGCCTCGCTGATTTAGGATAATAACTATCCGCTTAGCACCTTTCCTTTACCAAGAAAGGATAACAGTTAATACACCACAAACAGAATCAATATTAAAGAATGGTTTAATATACAGAAAGTCATACAAATTATCACTGCTTGAAGTGCCATATGAGGCCACCAACAACAACCAGAAATGGATTAGATGTTTCCTCAACCAAATGATAAATTAATTCAGAGCAGTGTTAGGATATCCAGAATTTTAAATAGCAAATATTTTAAAACAAAATGCAGCATGAAACAGAAACAGCAAACATAATTATACCATTCTGTGGAGGAAAAAAATGGATCTCCATTTTCAGAGTTAGCTACCAATTGGCTTTTATATGGCATTATACCCTTCTGACACTTAGGGTACTCTTCTTGTGTGATCAGGCAGATGTCCTGAAATTAAATTACAAAAAGAAAGACAAAACAATGGAACTCGGCCTTTTTCTTTGCCCGAGAAGGTTTGTTTCACATATATTGGTGACTATCATGGCAGCTTTTGGTACCTTGATTAAGCATCTTAAAACCTACATCACTTATTTCTTTTTAATGTTATTCTTGTATTCAGAATATGAATTGCTAAATTTTAAATCATTGCCACGAATGTGGCATTCTCAGAGATGAGTATAGGACAAGTGAGTTGAATTTAACCAGTGTATGTGAGACATCCTTCTGCTTTCCTGTATTCTGTTGTGTCCTTGCATAGGAATGAAACAGACTACTTTTTCATCCTTCTAGACGGTAATCAACTCACATTTGCATTTTTAAAAAATTTATAGAATTGTAATAAATACATAGACCTACCTTTGTTATTTCCCACTATCATCCTCTATTAGTTTTCATGAAACACATTTTTTCATAAAATGAAAAGGCAAAACAGGTGTTAGATTATTTATGTCTGACAAATTCATATCATTTAAATAATTAAAACTAATTTGTGTTGAGAGCTACAGTTGCATTTTTATTAGAGAAACAAGTACAAATAGGCATCACTACAGAGCTGTTTATTCAATAATGAGATTAAATGAAATGGATTTCGTAGTCTCAATTCTTTGATTAATGTGGCAATTGGAACTCTAACTTCTGTGCCCTAACAATGTGGAAACAGCTGCTTACCACTATAATTCTGTAAAACTTTTTTATTTAAAGCTACACATTTTAAATTATCCCTAAAAATATATTGTAAGCAAAATACTGAATGCTTTCGGTTTAAACAATATTTGCATTATAAACCTGACATTAGTCTGCTTTTTAATTTAATCACAAAAAAAAGAAAATTTCATTTACAAATAACAGTATTTGTGTTTACATGTAATGTAAACCTTTCTGCATATCTTTTTGCTTATACAATATAGAGGTTATTGTATTAATCTGTATAGAAAAAATACTGTACTTTTAAAATAATAATAATAAATTGAATTAATTTGTCTACAATAGATAAGTACAATTTTAAGAGAAAAATATATGAATACAGCTACAAGCAGAATGTGCTGTGTATAAAATTGTCTGCCAAGAACAGTTAAAGCAGCACAGTACTTACCCTTTGAACAAAAGGCATCAACATATAATTGCAAGAAATTATTATATTCTATGAAATTTTTAAGGGAAAAACAAAGATGCAAAGCTTCTAGGAGCAACATATTTATACAACTATAATAGAGCATATTGTTCTCCTGTTCACAAAATTTTTTTCAGTCATTTTTAGTAAAGATGCAGCATATTATATGTACAGGGACTGCATTGCACCAGATAGGGACATGCTAAGCCATGTTATTCTTGCATTTAAAAGATACCATTTGAATCTATCACTTATAGAATAAACCAGTCTCAGTTTGTGAATCTGAGGTAAACAGTAGCCCTCAATCCATTCAATATCCACATAAAAGCATTTAAAATTTTGAGTATGTAGACATCTCATCTCAAGTGAAACAGACATTTAGGAGTCAGTAGATGGACTGAAGAGTGTCCAGACAGAAATGTGTGAGCATTATCAATAAGCATATAGTAATTTGCACGACCCATCCTTAATTTCTTAATGATACTATGACATAGGGATTCAATTCACTGTAAAATTACTAAAATCTACCAATTTTAATGCTTTCAGACTGTTTATTTTTTT